TTGAGTTTCTTGAGGTCCTAGATGGGATGAATATCGCAATTTGATTTCAGAACCATAAAAAAAAATAGTAGAATCCTCAAAACCTTTTGTACTCTGCAACCAAAATAATCACTCCTTGAGAGAGAAGATGATTGAGTGCCTGCAAGACTACAAATCTTTTTGTGTGGATTCAAATCAGCATTTGAAAAAAAAAAAAAGTTTTGAAGGGAGATCCTCTGCAATTCCACTTTGTAGCCACAAACCACAATATTGTGGACCCACTTGTCTGCTGTCTCCCCCTACCAAACCTCTGCAAAGGACTGCAAACATTCTCTCACCCAAGTGAGTGGGGGCGCTCTGGCATTGTGAAGAGGCCTTATCCCTTGCTTAAAAGGACTTTGGAGGCCAAGGTTTCCTATGGAAACGGGGACTGGCGCTTTTGGCATTAAGCCAGAGCCCGGAGATTGCAAAAAGAATTTTTGAAATAGGAGGGCTTAGCCTTCTGTTTTAAGCAGAAACTTAGTACTCTAATTCAGAGTCACCTGGATGAAATTAATCCAGCAAGACCAAACAAATGTTCCCCTTTAAACAGTAAACATTCCCCATTTCAGCCATAATATCCTGCACATGTGTATGCTAAAAAGTTGCTGTATGGGGTTCTTTAATGCATCCAGGGGGAATCCAACAGCACATGGAAATGCTCCAGGTTTCCAGGGGCTTCATTAGTAGAATTCCTCTGTTTCATCATGTGACAAGCCCAGATCCTAAGAGACATATGGGCAAAGATTTTTTTTTTTTTTTTTTGGCCATACTTCCCTTGTGGGTCACAGTAGTACACTTACTTTTGCTCTTCTGAGGCATCCTTACATACTTGAACTTCATCCTCTGGGCATGTGAGTGTCTTAAAGATATACTGTAAGAGACTGCCATAGCCACTTAAGGCATAATCCATTTCTTAGTGAACTCGCACTACAAAGGTATTAGTAAGTGAACCTCTTTGGCAGAATAAACACCCCTCTATCTAGATGAGCCCAATCTGCGTATAAAACATCCATCAAATTAGGAGGTACAGGGAAGGATTTGGGATGCTGTGGTAAACACAATGATCCTAACCCTGTAATATTTGTAGTGAAGGCTTTCAGGAAGCGGTAACCTTAAATCTGAAATCCAAGAAAACTCAAAAGGCCTTTTGGGTCTGAGATAAATGCTGACCCTGGCTTGCTCCAAGAGCAGATTGCTCAGGTAAGGAATTTTCTGTTTCCCCCTTCCACAGGAACATTCTTGTCATCCTCTATAGGTTCCTCCATAATAAGGAGGAATGCCTCCATTTACAAGCAAGGCAGTCCAAATCAGCAAATATTCTGGAAAAGTGCAGCTGTAACTCAGGATTTTTCATCTGCTTCATCTTTATCTGGTCACAAATAGACAGGAGGAAGGTGCCCCAGAAGTAGCAGAGATACCAGGTTGGCATAGGGAGTCAAAGTTATACGGAACACACTGACTCCCAGGTGATAAATTGTGGGATTACATCCAGGTTCCTCTGCCCACAGGTATTTGGAACCCCTCACCCTCTACATACCCTTTCTTCTGTCATCTGAGAGACATTGGCCTGCATGGATCCTTGCTAGCAAGTCAGCAGAGAGGCACTGTATCAGAAGGAAACCAGCACACTGGTACCCTTTTTTGGGAAGTTTAAGTACAATATTCCCAACACACATTGCGGAACCTGACTGTAGATGCAAGTGGGTGCTGTGAAAACTACGGTCTGGAAACCAAAAATATCCAAAGCCAAAAGTATGTCACCAGCACACTGAAAAAATCCAAAACGTTATTTAGCGATCACATGTGGCTCCAAAACATCACCATTTTAACTAGGATGTGATCCCTAAATAAAGCTTTGGACCTGTTCTAGAGATCCTTGGTGTGCTGGTGACATATTTTCCTTTTTTTGGGAAGAGGACACCTGATAGTCTTTCAGTGTCCTGCCACCCCCAACAGGAAGGTCAACCATATACTTGCTGTGATCCATTTTCCCACTGCAAAGCACTGCTGCAACCTGTAATCTCACACTGTGCTATTCCACTGTGATCTGTAGCCATGTTTGTGCAGAGAGCTGCACAGACATAACGACTGCCTACAACACCAGCAACAAAAAACTGAAGCCTTGCCTAATGAGGGGATCCTGTTTTTTATTTTTTTTTGTTTTTTGTCAGTGTCCAGGCACCTGGAAGTGGCTGAATAACCCCTATTGTAATGGATATGAAGATGCTGTGTCCCATAATGTACGATAAAAATACCTACTAATGGACACATATAGCAAAAATACAAGGGCGTTTAACCCTCCCCCTATTCTATGCAAACAAAATAAAAAGTTGAGTTAGGCTTTAAAGCTGAGCTCCAGCCTTCCCCTATCTTTAGGATGTCCATTCACACTCTGCTCCTGTGCTGATACATACATATTGTATACATACATACATTTGTGCCGGCGTACTCTTACCAGTAGATGGCAAAGAATGTGCAGCACCCATCCTTAAACACACCCAATTTCCTGGCTGAGTGACTTACAATTACAAAAGTAGCTTTCCTCTCCCAACGATGGCTCTTCTCTTACACCCTATTGGTTCCTGCTGTCCATCAGTCTTCCTTAGGTTGCAGATCTTGAAACAAAACTGTGGTGATATGAATGGGCTGTCTTCCAGCCCTTGCTACACAGAATGGATTGAAGAGGAAACAGCTGGGCACCAGCAATGACCTCAGAATATCCACAACAAATTATGTTTTTAACAAAAGGGATAATGAAAACTAATGATAGCATAGTGATCAAGGGTATTAACAGAATCCATTTTTTTTAAATCACACTTCATCTTTAAAGTGATTTCCAATTCATCCTGAAATTACTGCAAGGTAACAGAATTAGTGTGGAAAAAAAACTGGGTGCATCTGACTGCAAAGCTGCAAGACAAACAGTATTTGGTGAAAGAGTCTTTATAAACTAAGGAGGTCAATTTCCTGACAAACAAAAACTCAAACTGTGTGAGTCTTCATTTAGTAAATCAGTCCTCAAATATTAGGTATATTGTACTTATGTATTAGTTGACACCGCTATATTATGCTTTTAAAGAATATTTAGGCCATAGCTGCTGAGAGTTTTCAAAGAAACATTTTATTTCAAAATAAGTTATGTTTCACAATTTTTATTACTTACTCAATCCTGTATCGTACAAAGGCAACAAGCTTAAATTGCATGAGACAGTGTAGAAATCATAAAGCATACAGAACAGAATTTTAGACATGTATTATTTATGTACAATTAAAAGTTACCAGTGCAACATTTTTTCTTTAGGAGTCTAAAAATTATGTACAGTTTTACATGCTCAAATTAAGAACAGAAAATAAAATTGTAAGGCAAAATAAAACGTTGCTGCTCAAGCTAGCCCAATCAAAATCAGTAATAATAGGATTGTCTGTACAGATTGGAGGGATAAAATCACTTCAAATATTCAGACATTCCAAAATGGCCAAGCACGGGAAATTTACATGGATTGCCAATGAAGGTTATTCATTTCCAAATCACAAAAGCATTTAAAGACCTATCATCTATAAATTTTGCATTGATTTTTCAAAGAACAGATTTGCATGGCCTCCTAATGGTCATTACATTGTCACAGGCCATTACAGTATCCTAGTCTGCCCCACAGATTCCGCATCCTATTATTGCCAAGGATTCGTTTTGCAATTTTATCTACTGCTAAGACAACCCGTTCAAGACTCAAATCAAAACTGGCATACTGTAAAAGTAGAAAGCATCTCTTAATACAAAACCCAGCATATACAAAGTGATCTGGTTTAATCTCCTTAACGGTGGCATGCAAACTCTCAGTTAATCTTAGTTTTTGACAGGAGCTCGCAGTAGCCTTTCAAATAAAAAGAAAATACTTTGATACTGGACAGCAGCAGACTCCCCCTCCTGCTCCATGGCATTTAATGCAGTCTATATTTTCCACAGTGCTGCCACTAAGTGCTATTAAGGGCATGAGCTTTTCTGAGAGTCCACAAGTGCAAAGAATTTAAAATAACTTGTACTATGAGAATTCAGAGGCTGCTATCCTGAACAAGTGTCCAACTGTAGGTCAGTATGGCAGCCCCTGTATTTTTCGGTATGTTTCCTTCACAAGGGCAGAAAATATACATTAAAACTTAGTTTATTTAAAAGGGCAGTCAGTAGCATTCACAAATATAAAAATATAATAGTGTTCCAGTAGCTTAAGAACAACGGAATTCATCCAAGCTAAATTTATCATCCTGAGGAAGAGGTTTTCTATTACATACTGTTGTCATTGCTCAGACCCTCCTCAGACCAAAATCTAAGATACTCTTGAAAAAAGGGCTACACAAAGTAAATTCCATGTATATCTTGCTATATATTGACATATTTGTAAATGTTATTGATAGATTATTAGCCCTTTTATCTAAGGTAGCTTGTATTTGACATTTTCTGCATATTACAGTTCTGACATCCAAGGAACCCATAAGACATAATTGTTCATGAAAACATTGTATAAGGAAATGAGGCTTCAATCAAATGTTTAAAAATATACCCATTATTTATATGGGAGGTTCAGGCAGCCTTTGATCCTCCAGGAATAAAGCTGCAGGAAGCTGAGGCTGCCTACCCATCCCATTATAATAGTGGACATCATCATATTCCCATCAGTGACACATTTGATTGCTACACCACATTAACTCTGATGTTTCTGCTTTACTGTCTGCAATGGATTTGAAGTTGGGTTGGGTATGTTGCTGGCTTTCCTTATGTTTAGAATGCCTTTGATAAAGCTGTTTGGTCCAAACAATGAAGAGCAACACAGCGGTGCCACAGCTACCACAAGTCATTCTTACATGACGTCACTGAGCAAACTGTTACCAGCAATTAAAATGTTTATCATTCACTCGGTGACCCTTCATGAGATTAACATTGTGTATGAGGTTTGCCAGTAGCGGAGAAAAAAAAACATTTCATTTTAAAAAGATGCCAGATTTCCGCTGCGGCGAGAAGCAGTGTTCTCATTTATCTGGATCTCATTTTCACAGAGAAGAGCGCTCTCCTCATTCCCATTTAGGTGTTCATAGATGTTGTTGGATAGATTCCCATTCATGATTCGTTCATCTTTTCTCAGGGAAACAGGAAGGCTGGACAAGGTGAAAGAAACATCTTTGAAGGCGTGCAATAAAAAGATGCCAACAATAATGGTTAAGAAGCCACTGAAGGTCCCAATCATGTCATTAGCAGACATATGTTGCCATTCTTTGAACAGAATGGCAGAGCATGTAAGCACTGAGGTGGTAAAGAACACATAGTAAATTGGAGTCACTAGGGAGGTGTTAAATATATCCAAAGCTCGGTTTAAATAGTTTATCTGAGTGCTTACACAAACTATAAGGCTGACCAATAGGATCCAGGCCAAGGGATTCCTCAGGACAGGCTCTCCAGCAAAGATTCCTTTAATAGCAATTCCTAATCCTTTGACACAGGAAACAGAAAGGGCTCCAATGACAGAGCAGATGGAAATATACACCAAAAGATTGGATTGCCCATGACTTGGTCCCACCACAAAAATCAGAATCAGTGAAACAATGATAACTGCTGTTGCAAAGAGCACAAAACCTAAAGAACAGGACAGAAAAACAATAATGTGTTAGATATTTTGTTTGTGTATTTCCAAACATATGCGTCCTTCCATATCCTACACCTACACACACAGCTATAGAATTCTAATGATGATTGGCTGAAATCTATGTTCAGGCATTACACAGAATATGTGAAATTTCTGTTTCGCTCTTTCCCCCCTCATGTGCATCCCTTCCTTTAACCACTTGCCTACTGGGCACTTGCACCCCCTTCTTGCCTAAGTCAATTTTCAGCTTTCAGTGCTGTCACACTTTGGGTATAGTGTTACAATTGTCATTCAAACCAAATTTTTAGCATTTTGTTTTTAGACAGATAGAGCTTTTTGGTGGTATTTAATCCTCACTTTTTGTTAAACTAAAAAAGACAATTTTGAAGAGAAAAAAAAAAAAAAGTATAAAATTTTGGAAATGACTATTTTTTTCTCTTAGACAGCACTGATAGATGGCACTGATGGGTAATGACAGGCATCATTGATGGGCACTGATATGTGGCATTGATAGACAGCACTGACTGGCACTGATAGGCGCAATGATGGGCACTGATAGTGCTGCCTATCAGTGCCTTCTCATCAGTGTAGTCTATCAGTACCAATCAGTGCCCATCATTGCCGCCTATCAGTGCCCATCAGTGATACCTGTCAATGCCCATCAGTGCCTGATCAGTGCAGTCCATCAGTACCCATCAGTGCCACCTATCAGTGCACTCTGATAGGCAGCACTGATGGGCATTGACAGGCATCACTCATGGGCACTGATGTGTGGCACTGAAAGGCAGCACTATCAATGTAGATGTCCCCTCTGAGAAATGCTGCTTACCGACTCTCCTGCCGATAACCAGCATTTTCTGTTTACATGTGATAAGCTGTGATTGGACACAGCTGATCACATGGTAGAGGCTACGTAATTGGCTCTTTATCGCAATTGGTGATCCGCTGTGTCCGAGGGACACGCCACACCACCGATCGGCGGGGCATGCATGCACAACTAGAATGGGAGGATATCATATAACATCCTCCCAGAACAAGGGCGTTCCTGTCCATCCGTCATTTCCCTATATGGCAGGCGGGAGGCGATTAAAGTGGTAGTAAACCAAAAAGCAGAAATGTAATATATTGCAGCTTACCAATCTCTAGATGTGGTGGCTGCATTAGTTTTCTTGTTTTCCTTTGTTTCACCTGGTGAGCCAGCCAGTAACACATTTCCTGTCTTAAGCTGGGTATACACATTCAGCTTTTACTTCGTTCAACCTGCTGGTTGAATGAGAAAAACCTTACAGGTCCCCGCATTAACAGAACGATGTGTAATGCAGGGATCTCTCCTGATGTCTATTGTAGTCTGACAGGAGCACTCCCTCCCATAGTTACATCGATCTACATCAGAGTTTATCCTGCTGTTGCAGCAGATTTATATCCAACCAATGGTGAATCCCTCCTATGGAGACTTCACTCCAGTTTTGCCCGAGCACCAATGCAAAGTTCATGTTTTCCACTGAGCACCAATGTAAGTTTAGAAGCCTAACTAGAGTGAATCAAGGAGGGAAAAGGATCTGGAGATCCTGGTTGATGATAGACTCAGCAATAGCATGGAATGCCAAGCTGCAGCAAGCAAGGCCAGCAGAATATTAGCATGAATTAAAAAAAAATATTTACTCAAGTGATAAAACTATAATTCTACCAGTTTACAAGACTCTGGTTCAGCCACATCTTGAGTATGCCCATCCAGTTCTGGTCACCAGTCTTCAGGAAGGAGGTACTAGAACTGGAGAGTCCAGAGAAGGGCAGCAAATCTAGACAGAGGACTGAAGGATCTCAGTTATGAGGAATGACTGCAAGCATAAATCTTATTCTCACAGGAGAAGAGACACTTATGAGGGGATATGATAGAAATATACAAATATCTTAATGGTGATTCCAGCACTGGGAAGTCTCAGTCTCAGGTCACTCATGAAGACACGTGGCCACTCAATGAAGTTGGATGAGAAAAGGTTCAACCCTAAACTGTGGAAGGGTTTTTTTTTTTTTTTTTACTGTGAGAGTGGGAAGGATGTGGAACTCCCTTCCACAATCAGTAGTTGCAGCGGGTAATGTTGCTAATTTAAAAAAAACTCTTAGATAGACATCTTATTGAACATAATACACAGGGATATGGGAAATGGTAGAGACAGAATACTTACACACCCACACAGGTTGAACTGGACGGACTGATTTCTTTATTCAACCTTACCTATGTAATTATGTAGTCTAAATAAAAAAACAAAAATCAGCACAGTGGACATAACCTACAGTCAATAGGATGTGCTCCTTGTGCCGATATCTCTTCTTTAAGTTGAATTCATCCCCCATCAATTTATTACTATATCTGCAATTCACTGACACACTAATGTACTACAAGTAGTAGATGAGAAAAATCCTCCAAGATCTTAAAAGGTTTTCAAGGGTTCCTTGATGGTAAAAAGACTAAGAAAGGCAAATCAACATATGATCTATACACATGGAACTGGAAATGACAAACGTATTACAGAGCAATCTTTGTATATCAGTAAGATACACAATTACATCAATTAACAACAGGTGTAACAGCTAATCTAGATATAGAATCAGCCGGATGATTCCTACTCCAGAAAACAGAGACAATAAATAAAAACATATGAAATAAACAAAAATCTAAATTGTGGTTTAAACCTTGCGGAAACAAGGTAATTAAAAGATCCAGACAGTTGTTTAAAAATGTCCCTTTAAAATATGCAGTCTTAAGGTTACCCAGTGAAGTTCTATCTGTAGGCTTCACTTTATATCTGATGGTGAATGATAAAAAAATATAATCCTGAAATTCATAATCAAATAAAATCTTTTTAATATACTTGTCCACTAGTTTAATAAACATTTCAGCTTCTGCATATGACGAGGGTGATGTAAATTCACTTTTCATTTCTAAACCTAAAGAGGATTTATTCAAAGGTTTCATGTGGTTTACTGACTTGATGTCTGGTTTTAAACAATAATGAACTTTCAATCTCACATTCCTAGACAATCTGTATAGTTTTTTTTAGATCCACCAGAAAGGGATTGTTCTTATTCTTATATTCAGAGTGCTAATGTTTTTAACTTCTTCTTAAAGTGATTGGAAATCTTTACATAAACCCAGTGAAGTGACTGTTCGCAGGTGATACAGGGATAAAACAAATCCTCCTACCTACATTGTACCCCTCTATCTTCAGTCGCCTGTCCCCTACGTCCATACAAAGTGCAGAATTTGAACAGGATCTCTCAGCTCTGAAAAGCGGGGGGTGGGGAGCTGAAGTTATAGCAGCGAGGAGAGCTCTGAGAGCTGATTGGAGGGGAAAGAAGAGACCCCCCCCCCTTCACACAGGAACAGAGCTGAGGGTGTCAATCTGTTGGAGGTCTCTCCCTGTCACTATTTTTCTTTTGGTGTCAGGAAAACCTGTCAGAAGTGATTCATTCTGATAGCAGCAGACAGAAATGACACTTATGTAAGCCATAGACAGGTCGTTTATATCGGCCGAATTTTCGTCCGCACGGAAAATTGGCCGATATTCACACCGTTAGTGGGGCAATACCGTTGGTCGTTTTTTGCAGATCTTCTTGTTTATTTTTATCGGTCATGCTGGAAAATCCACGAAAAAACGGACGTTTTTCGGGTACATTGGTGGCAGCATCGGTGCTAGCAACAACCGATTTTTCATTTATTGGCCGAAAATTCGGATCCGATAAACGACCTGTCTATGATCAGCCTTATGCAGGCTATAGATGGTACTAAATTATTCCAAATTTTTGTTCGATAAACAAAATATTGGTTGGTCTTATATCCGACGTAACCACCAATGATTACTAAACTTGGCCGATTAAGCCGTGAAAATCATAACCTGTAACAGGTTCTTTCCAGGTCACTGCACATGCGCATAAAATTTTCATAAAAACGATCGTACAGTTTGACCATCAATGAGGAGAAAATCGTCGTTTTCCGAAAATTTCTCAACATGACCAATAATCCAAAAGAGAAAAAAAACTCGAAAAATGGGCGACGAAGTAACCCACACACGGTACAAAAATCAGACTATTTTTCTTTCGGCAGAAAAAACGGCCGGTTTTTTCGACCTATCTATGGCCTGCATTAGTGCTCTGAATTGAGATAAACACACACTGTAAAGGGATATGCATCGTTCAGATTTCATGTCTAAGGTTTACAACCACTTTAATGCCTAACACAGTTTGTAACTGGCCTGGGTTAGCAAAAATGTACATATCTTTACAACTACCTAGTGTATCTAGATGAATGTTTACTTTGGGACAAATTGGGCCTTTTATCAGTGGTAAATGTTAATAGATATCTCCTGTTTTTTAAATCAAAGAAAGAAAGTCCCAAATAGTAAAAAAAAAAAATATTTTTAAACTTTAGATGCTGTTTTTTTTTACCATTACCAGGAACCACTACTAAATAAACTCAAAATAAATTCTCCAGCTCCTGGCATGCCTTAAGGTACCGTGTGTGTGGATCTTTTCTTGTTTGAACTTGTAATTGGGCCCAGAAACATTTGTATGCATTTGCTTTTCTTTTTATCCACCCTAAACACACAGACACTCATGCATTTAATGTCCACAGTGGTAAGGGGATAAAGCAAAACTGCTGGTCTTGGAGCCTCTTCATTGGCGGGATGATGTCATTCATAACAAGCTAGTCATGCCAACACTCAAAGACCGGTCTGGCAATGTAAGCCGAGTTGCACGAGCAGCTCAGTTTACAGTACTAAGGATGACAGCGAGCAGGCAGGGAGGGGCATTTTATCGCAGAAGAGTGCATGACACCTCTGCAATGAAAGCCTGCCTGCTAGTTGTTTCTTACAGCAGAACTTCAGCTTTGCTTCAAGGGCAATGTTTGCTCTATTTTCGATGGTGCAGAGAACGATGTGATTTAACCTCTTCCCTACCTCACTATAGCCGAAAGACAGCTGCAGCACGGTTGTCTCTAGTTCTGGGACGACATCCATGGACGTCATTCGAGAACACGCCCCCTGCATGCTGCCGGTGATTGCTGTGTCCTATGGACACAGCTGATCACAGGATACTGTAAGCGGCCAATCACTGGCCTTTTACCATGTGATCAGCTGTGTCCAATGACACAGATCACCAGGTAAATACAGTTGCCGGTTATCAGCTGCACTTTCCTCACGCTGTCACAGCATGAGCAGAGTACTGCCAATAACCGGCAATTGTCAAGAGAAGTGATCGGCACTGATAATCAGTGCCCTGATGATCAGTGCCCAGCAGTGCCGCCCACCTGTACCCATCAGTGCCACCACCTGTGCCCATCAGTGCCACCCACCTGTGCTGGCCAGCAGTGCCACCCATCAGTGCAGCATCATCAGTGACTCCTATCAGTGCCCATCAGTGCTGCCTATCCGTGCCACCTCATCAGTGCTGCCTATGTGTGCAGCCTCATCAACGTACATCAGTGAAGGAGAAAAATTACCTGTTTGCAAAATTTTATAATAGAAACAAAGAAAAACCTTTTTTTAAAAAAATGTTTTGCTCTTTTTTTTATTTATAGCGCAAAAAACAAAAAACCACAGTGGCACTTAAATACCACCAAAAGAACGCTCTATTTGTGTGAAAAAAATGATAACAATTTTATATGGGTACAGGGTTACATGACCGCGCAAATTGTCATTCAAAGTGTGTCAGCACTGAAAGCTGAAAATTAGCCTGGGCAGGAAGGGGGTATAAGTGCCCTGTAGGCAAGTGGTTAATATCTCATATGTCAGAGTACATACATGGTTTATTTACAAAAGATTACAAGAACACTTTAGTATATAAGTGAGAAAAAAGTTAGGGACAGAATGCCACAACATAGATATTCTATTAGATCTGAACAGACAGAGTTCCCTGCGCCAAGAGACTTTTTGGGGGCTGGACAAACGGTCACTGACCTTAGGTTAATAGTAATAGACGAGGTGCAGTGACCACAGTACAGCATTGAAACACAAAGAGGTACACTAGATCTTTGAATTAAATACGTTTGCCATCACAAGGTTTAAACCATAATATTGATTTAGCATAGTTTCTTTAAAATGTATTTTCTCTGTTTCTGGACTAGAATTGCTCTGGCTGATTCAAATCTAGATTAGCGATTACACATGTTGCTCATTGATGTTGTTATTATGTATCTTTCCGATATCCAATGATTACTATATCACTTTTTTTGCATTTCCAGTTGCATGCTTTATATGTAGATTGTGTTGTCTATGTGCTGCAACCCCTCTCTTCTTGTATTTGCTATGTGGATTGTTTGATTCATTGTGAGAGGTGCAATTGTTCAATCCACGTACTCAGTGGTCACACCCTTATGGATTACATTTGTTTGGCATCCAGCAAAGCAGAAATTATGATCAGCTGGATGCTTTACTTGCAAAATTTTATTTCTAACAGTACACAGTATTGCACTGACACTCATAACACAGAACGTCTATATGTAGGAGCATTACCTGGGTCCGCTAATTTAACAGACATTTCACTTAAAGTCTGAATCTCCTCTTCTTGGGGGGCATGGATAACCATCACAGTTGATCCCATCCAGTAAACATCCATCTTTCCATGCAGATTTAATTTCTCATTAAGGAAGTATGATGACAGGATGGCACTGCAATGGAAGAGGTAAGCAGTTACAACACTGTGATACATATGCAAGAGTGTATAGGATTAATGAGAAGTGATTGACACTCAACTGTCATAATGCTAACGATTATAACCATTAGATGGGTAACTGGAGTTCAAAATAACATGTTGGAAGTGTACATTAAACCAGTTAAAACCAGTTGAAACAGAGATGTGGCTGATATTCACCAGATGTGCATTCCATCAAAATAGGTAACTACGCGTGATGGCACAGCCGATCACGCGTTGACTCTAACTACTCCGCAGAATCATACATGACGTTATATAACCAGGGGATACTGCGCATGGCAGTAGATAAAGACATTCCAAACTATGTATATAAAGACGGGGGATTCTAGGGGAATTTGGGACTCATTGAAGATGCGGCAGACGTGCCTTGCGGTGATTTCCCGGATTCCCCCTTTGCTGACTGTTGGAGTCCCCCAGTCACTGGGCAGTGGGTGATGCTACAATATCCGGTGATGTATTGATGCTTTATATAATATGATCTAAATGTTTTGTAATTCTGACAATTCTTATGATTATACTAACAGAACTTATTCAATTCATGTTTTGCTTAATATTTATTAAGCCTACCGTTATTAGTGAGCGATTGTAGTATGTTAAAAACACTGTTTTGAGGCAAAACAAACACACTTTAAAGAAAGCAATCAAATTTGTTTGACACATACACTTTCACCTGCTGATCTCCATGTATTCAATATAAGTACTTCTATATCACTGTCAATTTACGCAGTCACACACACACGCCAAGGAATATACCAGCATGTCTTTGGAATGTAGGAGGAAACTGGAGTACCTGGTGGAAACCCACATAGGTACAGGGAGAATATGCAAACTCCAGGCAAGTAGTGTCATGGTTGGGATTTGAACAGACAACCCTAGTGCTGCTAAGCAAAAGTTACATAGTTAGTCTGGCTGAAAAAATACAAAAGTCCACCCAGTTGAACCAAAAAAAAAGTTATAATCCTATACCCACAATTGATCCAGAGGAAGGCAAAAAAAAAAAAAACCCAGCAAAGCATGATCCAATTTGCTCTTGCAGGGGAAAACATTCCTTCTCCCCCGAGAGGTAATTGGATTAACTTTACCTATAAACGTTAGCATCCAGTTATATTCTGTGTATCTAGGAAAGAATCCTGGCCTTTTTTAAAGCAATCCACTGAGCTGGCCAGAACCGACTCTTGAGGGAATCTATTCCACATTTTCACAGCTCTTACTGTGAAGAAACCTTTTCGTATTTGAAGACTACATTTCTTTTCCTCCAGACACAAAGAGTGCCCCCTTGTCCTCTGTGATGACCTCAGGGTGAATATCTCACCCTGGGCCGAGCTCCTCCATGCCTCTAATCTGTTGGGTTGCCCTTTTCTGTACGTTCTCCAGTTCCCCAATGTTGATTTGTACCGGGGGGAAATGATATCTCTCTCTCTGGAGTCTATACCTCTTTTAATACAAGAGAGGATTTTGCTCGCTTTAGAAACCGCAGCTTGGCATTGCATGCCAGTATTAAGCTTGTGATCTACCAGAACCTCCAGATCCTTCTCCACCATTGATTCCCCCAGTTTTACCCCCCCCCCCCCCAGTATGTATGATGCATGCATATTCTTAGCCACCAAGTGCATAACCTTACATTTATCAACATTAAACCTCATTTGCCACATAGTTGCCCAATTACACAGTGCATTGAGGTTGGCTTGTAAGTTGGAGACATCCTGTAAGGACTTTATTCAACTGCACAGCTTGGTGTCATCTGCAAAGACTGAAATGGGATTTTTAATCCCAGACCCCATATCGTTTATAAATATATTAAAAAGTAAGGGTCCCAACACTGAACCTTGGGGTACACCGCTGATGACCCCAGACCATTCAGTGTATGAATCATTAACTACTACTCTATGGATACGATCTTTTAGCCAGTTTTCTATCCATTTACATACAGATTTTTCCAAGCCTGTAGACTTTACCTTACACATTAGCCGTGTGTGGGGAACTGTATCAAACACTTCTGCACAATCCAAGTATACAACGTCCACCGCCACCCCCCTGTCTATGGTTTTGCTCACCCCCTCATAAAAAGAAATCAGATTTGTTTACCAACTTCTGTCTTTCATGAATCCATGCTGTCTGTTTCTTGAAATATTTTTTTCCAGGAAGAACTCATCTATGTAGTCTTTTATTTAACTTGTATAATTGGGAAGATACTGGAGCGTTTAACGAACAGGTCTATAATTACTTGGTAAAGATTTTGATCCCTTTTTAAACGCTTCCGTGCCACCCTATAGCAGAAATACTGCTACAGGGTGGCACGGGTGCGCAAAATCACGTGTATATAGGGTAGGGTAGGGGACAATACAGGTCTCTCCCTGTCAGCTCCTGCACACTGATTTGTATGGCTCTGCATAGCAGAGCCATACAAAGCAGTGTGCTTACAGTGAAACACAGCACAAAGCCTCATAGTAAAACAGCACACATTTAATCTTTTGATTGCCCCACGTGTTAACCCCTTCCTGCCAAGAGCCATTAGTACAGTGTCAGTGCTTTTTATTAGCACTGATCACTGTATTGGTGTCACTGAGGATGTCAGTGACACCAAGTCAGTTCCCCCCAGTGTCAGAATGCCCACCGCAGTCCCGCAATAAGTAGCTGATCGCCGCCATTACTAGCACAAAATATAGATATATACCGCCATTTGTAAACACTATAACTTTCATGTAAACTAATTAATTTACATGTATTGGGATTTTTTTTAGCAAAGACATGTAGCAGAATACATTTTGGCCTAAATTTATGACGAAATTTGATTTTTTAATTTTTTTTACTGGACATGTTTAATAGCAAAAAGTAAAAAAAAACATAGGGTTTTTTTTTTTTTTTAAAAATGTCAGTCTTTTTTTGCTTATAGCACAAAAATTAAAAAAAGTACAGGCAGTTAAATACCACCGAAAGAAAGCTCTATTTGTGGCAAAAAAAAAAAGGACGTAAATTTCATTTGGGTGCAACATTGCATGACAGCACAATTGGCAGTTAAAGTAACGCAGCGCCGTATCGCAAAAAATGGCCTGGTCAGGAAGGGGGGTAAATCCTCTGGAGGGCAAGTGGTTAAATATTGGCACCACAGTGGCCTTTTGCCAATCCAGTGGTACTAAGCCAGTCATTAAAGAGTCCCTAAAAATTAGAAACAATGGCTTTGAAATGACAGAGCTCAATTCTTTAAGGACTCGTGGGTGTATGCCATCTGGTCCAGGTGCTTTATTCACCTTTATTCTGTCTAAATATTTCCAGACCATATCAGTTGTGAGCCAATGTGGATCAACTGGTGTCAATACTATCCCCATTATGGACAAGCACTTCCCCATGCTCCTCACAGAGCTGAAGAAGGTATTTAATAAATTTGCCTCGTCTTTGTCCCCACCCACTATAGATTTTGTAAAGGGCCTACATGCTCGGACCAGACCTCTTTACTATTAATATAGTAGAAGAATTTTTGGCCGTTGGTCCTGCTATCTTTTGCAATCTGTCGTTCGTTTTCAATATTTGCGGCCTTGATTTCCTTTCTACATATTCTGTTATATTCTTTGTAATATTTAAACGATGATAGCGTTCCTTCATTTTTATATTTAACAAACGCTCTTTTCTTATTATCTATAGCTTTTTTAACTTTGGCCTTGAGCCACATAGGTTTAATTTTTAGCCTTTTAAACTTGTTGCCCATGGGAAAATATTTTGCAGGTCACATACAGTCTTTCTGAAGAACTCCCATTTCTGTATTGTGTTCATCGATGCCAATATTTTCTCCCAGTCTAAGTCTTGGAGAGCAGCTGTCAGCCTTGGAGAATTAGCCCTCTTAAAGTTGAGTATTTTTATTTTTCCGTATATGTGCTTGTTGTTTACAGCTAACAAATGAAATCATGTTATGGTCACTGCTACCCAGATGTTCTTTTATATGGACATTAGTAATAAGCTCTGCATGGTTTGAGATTACCAGGTCCAGCACAGCATCATTCCTAGTTGGGGCCTCTATGAACCGTACTATAAAATTGTCCTGTAGTAGGTTTATAAATTTTTGCCCTTTAACTGTTCCTGCAGTACCATTACTCCAGTCAATTTCCGGGTAAAATCCCCCCTTATTATCACTGTCCCAGCCTTTTCAATCTGTGCAAGGAGCAGAGTCTCCACCTCCTCATTAACACTGGGAGGCCTATAACAAACTCCAATGATTACCTTTGTAGTACGCACCCGCATGTGCAGTTCCTCCCATAATGCTTCAGCCTCATCACACTCTCCATCAACTAGGTCCTCTTTCACACTCGCTCTGAGATCACTTCTTACATAGAGACAGACACCACCACCTTTCCTTTTTACCCTGTCTCTCCGAAAGAGAACAAAGCCAGGAATATTAATGGCCCATTAATGCGAAGAATGAAGCCAATATTCAGCAATACCAATTAAATTATAGTTCTCTTCATGCACCAAAGCTTCCAACTCACCTATTTTGCTTGGCAGACTTCTGGCATTGGTGAATAAACACTATAAAGAACTGACACCTTGTGCACACGTATTTGCATATTTTTTATTTTCGTACAAATGATACCAATTCTAATGGTTGTTGGTAACATGGGAACCTTCTCATCACCTGCCATAGCCCTCCCCCCATCTTCCCCATTACACCCACCAATAAGGACTGACCGCTGCCTGATCTGTCTACCCCGTTATAATCTAATTCTCTCTCCCCCTTTGATCCTTGTTTAAATACTCATCCAGCTGTCCCATAAACCTCTCCCCCAGCACAGCAGACCCCCTTCCATTTAGGTACAAACCATCTCTAACATATAGGTTGCACCCCAATGAAAAGTCAGCCCAGTGCTCTAGAAACCCAAATACTTCCCTCTTACACCAGGTCTTTAGCCATGCATTGAGTTCTCTAATCTCCCCCCGTCTTTCCTGAGTTGCACATGGCACAAGTAA